TCCGCGCAAAAATCCGCCTATACCCTAAACCCTAAACCCTAAACCAGTCCAGGCAGGTCCCGGCAGGGAGCGGCCTTGCGAGACACCCAAAGCCCTTCTCTCCGGCCCGCACGACGGGTGGCGCCTTCCTGAGCTCAGGCGGACCTTTCCCAAAGTCTCTTTAAGGCTTCGGTCCTGGGGGTCCTTGGGGTTTAGGATTCAGGGTTTAGGGTTTAGGATTTAGGGGTTAGGGTTTAAGGTTTCGGTCTTCAGGTACGGATAGGCTTGGTGTTCTGCCAGTGTTCTGTGGTGATAGTGTTCTTTTTTGGCTTGGGTGCGGCAAGACTCAAAGTGCTCGTCGAACACCTAAGTCTTCTCCACACCATGGCACGCCTGACGAGAGGGATGTTGATAATCATGGCAGTTGCAGCTGTTTGCGGTAGTTGCAGAACTTGAAGGGAAGCACAAGCCTCAATACAGCGAGAAGATTATGCAATGTGCAGAATTCTCAGGTTATACACTCACGCCAAGCGCAATGATCACGAATCCTAACCAAACTAATCATTGCAGTCGGAACAGTCATCGCAGCATCACATTCATAATCGTCACAGCCGCGATAGTCGTGGTGCTCATCATCTTCATAGCTGTCATAGCTGCTTCATGCATCATACTTCCCTGCAGTGTCGGAATGGTCAGAACAACGAGGGAAACAAGAAAGATCGTACCAGGGGGCTGTGCAGGTCATCTTCGCCAACGTGACCTTACCTCCTGGGAGCAGCAGAAAGCAATCATGCCAGCATTCCAAGTTTGTCCTTCGACGAGCCCTCTTTGCCGTGGTATTTGCAGCTTAGCTGTCACTGTGGCAAAGGCCTGAGAGAAGTTGGAGCCAGTCCGTTGCGAGCTCAGGAGTCAGCAGGTCGAAGCTTTCGGAAAAACACAGACCTTGAACCTTGTGAAGCCTATCACGCCCCGGTGTTACATTTGTTGTTTCGTGCGGTCAAGCTCCAAGTGCGGTCTGCAGGCCATGACCTGTGTTGTGCGCGATGGCGCCGAGACCTTACTAAGCTGCTGTGTGAAGGGCAACACATGGAAACCCTGGCTTCAAGCTGAAATCCTTCCTTCTGACCGATGCAAAACCTAAAACTGTGAAATGAGAGCCTGCCCTTGTCCGAGTCGATGTCAGCCCCCGCATCACCGCAGCGAATGCGCTTCACACAAACGCAAAGCCGGTTCCTCAACAGTCGACATAGGTAGCAAACAGGATGGGTTGTGACTTCCTAGAGGTCACGGCTCTTTTGCTACTCGGCCGGCTGAGACGGCCTCTACCCTGGAGCTTCTGTCGACTTGAACTGAAAATCGCGTTTGCTGTGTGCCACATGTCAGGCACAAGGCTTCTTCGATGATGTCCGGGTGCTGAGGCTCGCATCAAGCATACACCGTCACTGGTCTCTGGACTTATCATGTCGCGGCCTTTGTTAACAGGGCCCCTCCAGCCATGATGCATCTTAAGTTCAGGAGTCATGGGGTGGTGGACAGCCAGCAAGGTGCGTTGAACCATTGCTTTAGATGATGTTTCGATCTTCTCTGGCATAGGCTCGAAGCTGCGGCTGGTCGCTTGATAGCAAGCGGAGAAGTGTTCCTCAGCAGTTGCGGTCCACGTCTTACTTCCATGGAGGCATCGCCGGAGCAGCAGTGCCAAAGTCCATCGGTGCAGACGAGGTTTCCGACGGTGCCAATGAAAGTCCGTCCACATGCTATGCTCCGAGAGATCGAAAAGCCGTGGAGATAGGATAAGTGGAATTTGACAGGAGATCCAATCAGTTACAGCATGGACCTTCAGCTGGAGGTCCGTTTGCCGGGCGTCCAACCCCAAGGTGCACATGTCAGACTTTCTTCTGCAGAGCCGAGTGTGTCTGCCTCTCTATCTCCCACTGCTTCTTTGCTTTGTCCTCTGTTCTTCAATATTTCTCCGTGAACCTTTGTCCATCTATATGTCGATTCCATGCCATGCCATGTCATGTCGTGGCTCTATGAGTTGCATGGATGCGTGTGCGGACGTATGTATAGTGGAGGCATGCAAGCAGGCAGGCAGAGAGGCAGACAGTCAGGTGTGTATGTGTGTATACACGTGAACGTATGTACGTGTACTGTAGGTATGTATGTATTTATGTCAGGGACGGAGATAGGTCTGTGTGTATATATATATACACACACACATGCGCCTGTATGTATATAATATATATATATATACTCTAGAAACGAACTTGGAAGGGCCCGTCTGACCAGCCTAGGTCGAGCGGTTCACGACCGCAGCAATGCGGCGAAGGCATGGCGAACGAAAGCAGATGCTGCCGTGGGCGACTCGCGAGTTTGTCTTTCAGCTATGAACATGCCCCTGTGGCATCGAAAAAGCTCAGGCAGATTCCTACAACTACCTCGGGCCTGCTTCAAACGGGCCTAACCCCTAGCAGCCCTAGCACGTAATGGAGAAGTACCCTTACGCGCATCATCTACGACTAAGGCCAGCATTGCCAGAAATTCATCCGCTTTGGAGTTGACATCCTCCCGTGCTCGCTGCTTTTCCGATGGCAAAGCCATGCTCTGCGGCTTTGGAGCATAGGTGTTTAGATGCATTTAGTGAGACCTGAGCGATGCCGCTTTGTGCGCTCTGCACAGTCCTGCCCAGGGCTTCTATGGGCTTGTGCGCCCAAGGATTCGGAAGAGCTACAAAAAGGCCAAGTGCACCCTTCGAGTGTGCCCCTTCGCTGAGCACTTCTCGCCTGAGATGGCCAAAGGGCCCGCCTTTACTTGTGTTTGCTTTTCTCTGACAGCTTGCACAGACTTGAAGACATGATGATTGAAGTTGTTACTACCAGTGCCAAGTCTGCATGCGCACTAGCTTACATAGCATAGGCCCTTTGAAATTGAAGCCCGGATTCGATGTTGCTGTGTCAGCAAGAGCATCACGACCATGGAATTCCCAAGTCCTTGGACCCGCGTTTGGGATCAGCTCACAGTGCCTAAAGTCCAAGCTCGGGTTTTCACCTTTGTGCCATATGCGTGGGGCGGCAAAGACCACGTTTTCCTCGGCCGAGGTCGTTTGGGGGGGTTGTTGTAGGCAGATGGCTTTATTCTGCAACTGAGGGCCATGGCTTTGGCCCGCCAGCTGCGGCGAAGCCTGGCAGGCCAGTCCGAGGCCCTGGCGCAGCGCAAGGGCAGCTGGAAAGTTTCTCAGGGCTGGGTGCATACTCCTTGTGCCTCCTGGGCATTCTGCTCGGCTACTGACTCAGCAGCCGCCGCTTCCCTCCTCACTCGCCACTGTCCACCGCTGAGCAAAAAGATAGGTCCTTCTGGACATCTTGGCGGAATGTTTGGGCCCTTCATTGCCCGGAAGCTCAGTGCCAAGACGGCCCAAGATTTGAATTCGACGGCGTTTCGTCTCCTTCAGGCTGTGGTCTCGATCACTCTGGTCTGCGCAAGTTGGAGCTCAGAGAAACCAAGCATCAATGGCTCCAAGTATGTGTGGCTGAAGGCGGAGTCTATGTCGTTCACATCATGAGCAAGACATTCTCCTCGCAAGAAAGTGCAGGTCCTCCACCAAGACTAGTCGATGCTTTTCATCGCTTTGTCGAGTAGTGTCGTCGCCACAGGTCAGCATGTGGTTCTGGCCTTCGTTTGGCTGATAGCGGCGGTCTCACTTCCACAAAGCATTTTCATTGTTTGAACTGGGGGAGCCCAAAAAGCACTGGCCCAGGTCTTGGCCGTGATGCTCGCAGTGGGCATGGGTCCGACACAGGTCGCGGTGGAGCTGAACCTCGCCGAAGACCCTGTGGCATTTCTTTTGTCTATTGTGGGCACTGCCTGTCTACTTCAGGTTTCAGACCTGCACGGGGTCAGTGTTTGTGCCGGGCACCCAGACCGCGGCTGCCCAGCCTCTCAAGCCTTCGTGGTGCACTCCAGAACTGGAGCGACTGGAGCGACACCGGTGGTGGGGCAACGAGCTTGGCTTGGAGAACCCCCAACGCCCCGATGGCGCTCCCCTAAACTCTACCCTCCTACCTTGGTCCCAAGGTTTTTTTCCGAGATGGCACCACGCTGCTTGGCGACAGCACCTGGCACAGCTGATGGCATGCCTGGTGCCGATGTCAGTGCCAAATGCACATGAGCGAACAACTAGGCAGAGAAGAGCTGCCCATCTCCCATGTGACGGTGGATAGATGTGACTTTCAAGGTTTCCGCCGGGCACCTAGTTGACCAGCATCTGCCCTCCGTCATCTTTGGCACAACCGCTGCAACCCGATGCAAAGGAGTGCTTTTCCCTTTAGCCTTCCATGCTGCAGCCAGACCAGCCCAACCTCCAGACTTCACGGACAGGGCTTTACGCGCTCCGAAGTCTGCTTTACCCCCGTGTTTGACATACGTCATGATGCCATGGATGTGCCGTTCCTCCGAATGGCGGACCCAGGCCACGCTTTTGTTGGGAGAGATTTCGATATTGTAAAGATATCCGCAAGCTTCCGAGGCCCCTCACAGACCCACCGGCTTTTGTGATTGCAGGCTGCGTCAGTGCAACCCTGAACTGCCGGGAGTTGCACTTGGAAGGCGCGGATTGCTCCAACGCCGAAGAGCTCGACAACATGAGCATGTACGTAGCGTCCATGTTGAGATAACAACATGCATGCAGGCATCAAGCCGCTTCGGGTGGTAAATGAGACCCAGGAGGCGGGCAAGCGGCAAGCGGTGCGCAGTGTCCGCAGTCTGGAGTCGTTTGAATGAGCTCGAATTCTTTACCGCATCGCTTTGCCAGGAGTTGCAACCGGACTCAGTAGACCAAGCCTCTGGAGGGCTGCTTTGGGAGGCGCCTGGCATCGCATGGCTTTTGGGATTCGCGACAGAGGGAGAGCTATCGGAAATTCGGCCCCCGAGCGAGGGCGCCCTGGATTTGGCACGGCACCTCGCGGAAGGCGGCCTCGAGAGGCCGAACACGGAGAGAGAGAGAGAGAGAGATCCTTCTCCTTTCGAAGATAGATCATGTGTATCTAAGCATATGTATGTATATATATATATATATCTCAGTATATATATATATATATAGAGATTGCATGTATATCGCTCAGAGACTGTCTCCGGTAGGATGGAGCCGGCCTCCGGCTCTCCCGGCCGAGCGCCGGAGGCCGGGGCGCGTTGCTTGGAGCTCGGGGCCGGGCACGGCTTGCCCGGTTTGGTGGCTCTGCGCCACGGCTACCGCGTGGACTTCCACGACCTCAGCGCCCAAACCGCGCTTCGAGAAGTCTTGGTCTTGGGCTCACAGGCTCACAGTTACTTCACTTCTCTTTTCTACTTTGACTAGAGCTGGATGGGCACAGCATCGGTTCTTCGCGAGAAGGGGCTTGGGCTTGGGCTCGGACTCGAGATTTTGCGAGGTCAGAGGGGGCAGCTGTAGCAGACATGCAGCACGAGCTGGTCGAAATCAATGAAACACGGTGCTTCAAGGTGTCTGCACAAGAAGATGAGATCTTCTTGTGCAGGCATGCGCCATAATAGTCAGCAAAGATCTGCAAGACATAAGCAGCTTGTTGCATTGGCGCTTCTGAGATGAAGCCCAGGTGAAAGCACGCTGCGCCACATCACTGCCGCCAACTGTGCTGCCAATGACATCCAGATCGGCGGGCCGGATGAAGCAGGAGTGATTGCTCACCACTTAGCCTCCGACCTGCGAGCCCAGGCCTACGCCATGCATGATGGAAACCATTACGCATATTATCATTATCATGACATGTTAGCATTTGCAGGAAAGGATCCTGATCCGCCTGCTCGTTTCGTTGCCGGTGACTGGAAGGTGCTGAAGAAGAAGGCCACAGATCATTTGACACTCAGACGTGCCTCTGCCGTAGATTCCGCAGTTGAGTCACTAAACCGGCCAGGCAGGGCCGTGTCTGATGCACCACGCAGGTAGGTTTCTGAGTTCTGAGTTCTGCTCCACTCACCCTCTGTGCAGAGGTCGGAAAAGTCGGATTCCACAAACATTGCAACACGCCCCAACAACAACAACAACAACAGAGCAGCTGCCTCCCACCCCTCCCCGCATGCGCGCACACACACAGACACAGAGACACAGAGACACGCACGCACAGACACACACGGAGCCACACACGGAGAGCCACACACAGAGACACACGGCCACACAGGGACACACACATAGGGACACACACACACACAAGAAGAGCTGGAAGTGGTCACTAGGAAGTGTCTCGCCGGATGACAGGTGGAAGCTGCCGAGCTGCTGTACGATGTCATCCTCGCGTCAGAAGCTGTTTACAAGGCCAAAGGCAAAAAGCACCCAAGAGACTTCAAAACAGCACATAGCAGGTATTGCCCTGAACATTTTCCACAGGTGGACTTCTACCCTGATCTTCTGGCATTGCTGGAGCACTTGGCTGCCGGCGGCCGAGCCCTGTTTGCCGGGAAGCGCTTCTATTTCGGATGTGGCGGTGGTACAGCATCTCAGTTGCAATCTGACGGGCACCACTAGTGGAGAGCACCATTTCACGACTTTGAGTCAGCAGGACTGGAGAAATCATCTGCCAAGGCTTCCTTTGCCACGACCGCCAAGGATGCTGGCTTCCATGTCGTGGTAGCCAAAGTCATCGAAGATGGCCGCTCCAACATTCGCGAAATCCTGCTCATTTCAAAGCCTCCTCAGAGTGCAGCCTGCAAGCGGCAGAAGGTGGATGCGGCCGACGCCTGAGAGCTTCCAGGCCTTGACCGCGCCCCCGACGGACGCCGGTGCCGAAGCTGCAGGAGCTCTCCCCGAAGAAGGGACGGACCGCCATGGCCGCCATGCCCGCCACGACCGGGTGTCCGAGGGGGAAGGCCATGATCCACAGCACGTGTGGGAGCGCATGAGCAAAGGAATCGTCAGGCTGTACCACAAGAGAAGGAAGCCGAAAACCTGCCGTCAAAGCTTTCGCCAAGGATGGAGATCGGGGATCTGCGGCTGTGTAAGTATGGCATGATCATACGCGAGGCTGCAGAAAAAGCGGTGGTGGCATTGCAGGGGCTGAATGGTTCCTCGTGCGAGGCTCGTTTCAAATCTGTTCAGCCGATCAACTCAGGCTGGCGAGACTGCTCTCTCTTTGTGGAGCCCATTCTGCGGTGCTCCGGACCAGAGCAACGTGCACAGCTGAGTTGTGAAAGCACAGGACTGTGAACCGACCCACGAACTCTGCTCCATCAGGCTGCAAACAGGTGTGCGCGTGGGCAGTGAGTACCACGGCGATACGGCCCGCTTGCTCACTGTACCTGCGTACGTACATCGGAAGTGCTTGATACCTGCATTGCTTGAGGGCTGCCTTTAACGGCTGCGGACGCCGTTTGCTCAGACTGCCGTTTACAGGGACGGCGTTTTTGCGTTGATGCTTCGACCCTCTTCAGCTCGACGGGGGCGCCAGCTTAAGCTTATGCAGTTCGAGGCTGATTGATTGATTGATTGATTGATTGATTGAAGTGGAGCTCATCAGGTTTCGAAGTGACTGTGGCTTATGTAGTCAACTTGGGAACCCTGATGATTTCCATATTCTATATTATATGAAAGTCCTCATGTAGTCATTGTGAAGATCCCCTAAAGTTCGCCAACTGGAGACCCACACCCCTAGACTAGATTCTCATCGAGGGCGATATCTGAAGTCCTTCTCGAACCTTCCAGCTCCAAAAGGCTGAAAGGCTGAAAAGTTGGTGGGCTAGACTTTGTGTTGTGCAGTAATGCTCTGAGCTACCGAGGTCAAAACGGACGGCGTGCCATTTGCGGCATTGCGTTTGCCTGAGGACACCGGGACCTGGCATGGCTCTCTCGGTCGAAATTTTTGCCCAGGCTGTCAGCATGACGAGACTCACCGCCGGCCGATGTGCTCCTTCCACAGTCTACAGAAGCCTTCTCTGACTCTGAGTCCGAGAGATGTCCGGAGAAAAGCCATGGGCCATGGGTTTTCGCCGCCTCTAAGGCGGGGCCTGTGGCGCAGGTCGATGTTCAAAATTGCGAGGAGGCTGAGCTTGAGTTGAAGTGGCTCTTGGTGCCAGGATGCGGCAGGACCCGGTAGAATCGGATGGATTGCCAGGTCACACAACGGCTGGCCGCTCAGCTGGATGCCACGCGCTCAGCTTCGATGCGCGTAGCGGGCAGTTTAATGGGATACAGCGGAACTTGATTGTGATGTGGATGGATAGTCATATGGGTCTGGACTATGGCCTATGGATAGACTAGCAGTCTGAAGCTCAGAAACGAGGCCTGGCAAAGATCCTATTAGGGCGAGGGTATGTGACCTGCAGTCGCAAGGACATTGCCGTCAACATGTCGCTTTCCACGAGCCTGTGCCTCAGTCACAGCATCAAACTGCATGAAAGAAGCCAAATAGTCGGCGGAATGTTGGCATGCAAATTTGCCCCGTGGCAGAAGATTTCATGGACGACCAAGTTGAGATGTGAACTGGTGGCCATCCCTGAAGAATAAAACATTCCTGGGCAGAAGTGTTGGAGATGCAAGAGGTCTAGCCGTGTTGCACAGACACAAGCTTGCAGCATTGCATCAGTCACAGCGTGACGGTGAGTCCTCTCCCGTAGCTGGAGAATCGCTCAACCTAGCCTAGACCGGCCTTCACGGAGACCACCAAAGCAATTACCTCTAAGACATATCGGACATCGATCTCACAAATCAGTGCCAGAGCTCCTGTGCTTGCGGAATCTGCACGGTGGGAGTTTCTGGGCCGCACGAGGTTGGGACGGATGGGATGGTGCGGCCAGGCCAGCTCCGCTCCTTCTGATGGAGGCCTTTGAGGGGTCAGTCCAGTCTACGGGACTCTTGAGACGAGCGCACGAGCTCCCTTCTTCCCGCGCTCTGTTGTAAGGATCCCAGAATGGTCGTGGCCTGAGGGGTTTGTACGCGCTGCTTTGCCTTTGCCACTGCAGTTCCGCTGTAGCTGAGACAGAAGGCCCCAGCACACCTGGAAATCCCTTGAACGAAGTACCACACAGCTATTGCAGTGACAGATCCGAACTGTCCTGGACTTTTACATCTGGACCTTTGCTGTGCTGCTGCCTCAGTTTGCACCTTCTGGGGACACAGCCTTGCATAGGTTCTTTGTAGCTTGAGATGGTCGCTGCACCAGCTTGCAACCTGCAGAGTGAGTTCTGGGTGCCAAGGCTGGGTTTCATTTACCTTCCCTTCCCTCTTCTGATCGTTCTTTGCCATCAGAGCCTCGACAGCAACGGGCATGAGCAAGGCAGAGAGCAAGGGCTTTGGCACCACTTGGCACCTAGGTCACTGACCTCCTGCGCTGGCCCCGCATGGGATTTATTGTGACACCTGGTTGCATGTCGTCGGATCTGTGCACCGCATCCCTCCCCTTCTTCTCTCTCCCGCGCAAGTCGGGGTCAAGGTCCCTGGCGCCGGGGATCAGCCAACAGTGGCCAGCAGCGCACTCGACTTTCCGATGTTCGTCTCGTGGGTTGCTTGCTTAGCAAGCTTCAACGAGGAACTACGTGGCTCTCGACCAGAGCTGAGACAGGCATGAATGGTTGATTCTGTTGGGTTGCTCACCGAAACGGTTCTAGCTACAAAGTGCATCGGTTGCGGCAAGGCCTACAATTCTTCGCTGTCAGCAGGTTACGTTGTCCAGTCTTGGTGCCTTTCGTTGTCAAGACGACAGCAGGCTTATCGCGTGGACACCGACTTCGACGTTACCGCAAAGTGATCCGGTTCATGTAGAAGGATTAGGTGCACGGAACATTTGCGGGCCCAGTTGCGACGCTTACCGGAGGAAATACGCCTGTTGCACCAAAGAAGTGCGATGGCGCTGGAACATCGAGAGAGGATGGCCAAAGTCCCGAAATGTAGACAGACGCAATGGAGCTCAAGTCCTGTTGATGACTTCGAGATGTTTTAATTTAGAGGGATCACAGTAACTGTTGATTCATTGGCACAATCTTTTCCATGTATGTGTGCTGCCATTGCTTTGTCAAATCGAAGTGTGTTGTCGCGTAGCATCCCCGCTGTGCGTGACAGCTGACACCTGGCTGCAGTTCAGCCATGCTTGTGAAGCTGACTGTTTTGGGTGCAGGTGCCACGCTCTGCCACAGCAGCTGTTTCCATCTGCTTCTGTGCTTATGCAGGCATTCTTGCTTACTACTCCCAACTGAATATGATGTTGCTGACATGAAGAACCGGTGTCCTGTTGCAGACCGATAGAGTTTAGCTGAGTTTATGACTTCAGTTTTGCGGCTTTATGCCTTGACCTGTCTGTCGTTTTGGTGAGAACCTGATTCATTCCGCGGCAATCAAGGGCCACCCGTGTGCATCAAAACTGCGCAGAGATACTGGTGGTGCAGAACAGATGCCATCTGTTGACGCCGCCAGCGTTCTTCTAAAGTACCTCATACGATGTAGCCAGGTGGTGAGTGTGTTCTCGCGGGGATGGCGCAAAGCTCTGGTAGAGGGATCACTTCGAGGCTTTGGTCCTGTCAGCTAAAGGAGCTAAAGGATGAGAAAAGGAATGTCTGAGGTCCAGTGTCCGATGCTAAGCCGGCTCTTCATGACGCATGAGCCTGTCGGCAGTGAGCGAAGCTCTCATGTTCTCACAGCGACTTTACTGCGCATCTTTTGACCAGAGTCCGTAAGCCACTGCCGTGCTCCGAGGATGCTCTGGGGCTTGCCGGAGGGCCCGCCTGCTGCTTTGGCACCAGGCTCTCGCCGCGGCTCGGAGGCCCAACATTTTTTGGAAGCGCAGATCAAAGGAGCGCCGTCGGACGATGTTTGGACTGCTCTTCAACACCGACTGGGCAGAGCCTGCGCCTGGTGCAGGCTGCATCAGAGCACACCACTGCTGTAGCGCTTGCGGGAGGCCCACGGGCACAGAGGAGCAGAGTCACATCCTTCAGTCTTTAGTTTGGACTCAGATCCCAAATTGTAGCACATCGGAGCCGTGGATGTCACGACAATCACAAGATATCGTCAGAGCCAAGATTAAGCTCGTTACTGACATACCTGGCAAAACAAGGGGAGAATGTGGGAAAGACTTCTTCAAGGCTGAAGAAGTACAAAAAACTGCAGACTGAGCTCGGGCGAGGTACTCGAAATGAGGATGGCGCCAGCTTAAGGCGGCCTTCCTCACGCTGCTCGCAGGGGCCCTTAAGTCCGAAGCCACACCTCCATGGCATGTGCAAGTGCTCGTCCGGTTATGTGAACTCAAAGAAAATATGGTGAAGCCCCTGACTCGCATGTGATCCGATGCTCCGTGGCATTCATTGCACAACTGACACATAGGTCTTTCGAGACGACGGCAGCAACGTCACTGGAGTTCGCTCCATCGCACTCTGCCAGAGAACCAGGAGCCGTCAGTTGTGCACAGATCATGACTGGCGCAAGAGTTGAGTACGGAGTTGGGGCCTCAGCGGAAGCCAAGTCATTTCACAGGTCTCAAGCTCGGAGCCAACGACTTCACATCTTTCACTTCGGAACGTACAGTTTCCGATGCACAAACATCCTTCATGCCGGGGCGCCTAGCTGCTGCTTTCTTAACCTGAGGAGTACGCATTGACAATAAACAGACAGACACCTCAGTATCTAGTGTGGTGCCCAGGATACCTCCACAATGGTCCAGGCTTGAGCGGAGCACTACGAGGCCGTAACCGGCGTCCTTAGCGTCACTCTCACGACTCAAAGACGTCTTGTAAGTTTCACCCGGCTCTACGAATGCTCCTTGATGCAGGATGTCACAGGGCTCAGGAAACTTTGAGCCCACGGCATCTTCGGATCTTGTGTGGCTCGGCCTTCCAAGGAAGCCCAAGTGCACCATTGTCGCCACGTCGCACACGAATGCCGTTCCTGCCCGAGGCTTTTTCCAAATCCTTCACACGCACTACCTGCACCTGCACTACTACAACATTCTGCACTTCTGCATCAACATGACCTTTCAAATTTAGTCGGAGGTGCCCTTTGAGTTCCCTTTGCGCCTGTCATATTTCCTGTGACAGGATTCGCAACTGACTTTGAAACAGCAAACAAATAGTGCGTGCTGATGCTGGACACTGCAGCAGTGGTGTATTCTCCCATCAAGCCAATCAGATGCTTCAAGCATAGTCAACTCGAAATTCTCGCAATGTGGGTGTCCCTTAGCCGTTAGAGTCTGTCAACATCTGCTGCCTCTGAAGATGCACATGTTCGTGTGAGGAGGTTCCCATGAACTCTTCGAGCGTTGGGACTCTGTCAAGTTGTGTTGTCCAGCCACTTAGTAGAAAAGCTATGTCTGGTTCAGGGAGTTTCAGGTAAACCCAGCCGGTTCAATCAGGACGTTGCGCATGCTAGGTTGGATGAAGATGAGGTTCTTTGCTTATGCTGGATGATAGCGGCATGAGTCTGAGCCGGGGGCTCGACGTACTTTTTGTTCAAACATACGTGCACATTCATAGATGTGTATCTTCATGACAAGTCGTCAGACAGTGTGCAGCTCGTGAGATCCAGTTGGTTGTGTCGCGCCTGGCTTGAACTCCCGCCCTAGCCTATAAGACCCTGAAAATTGGTGTTCGCCAACAGCCAATTGGATTTCTCGAAATCAATGCTGGAAAGCTGCATATTCATGTGTCGAGTTTGGCAGCCTTGCGTGCATATGTTTCTGCCCCTTTCGGTACCAGCCTTGGCAATTGAACCAAAAATGCCGGACTTCTTTGCCCACCCTCTCATCCCTTCGGAGACGATCCACTGTGGGGCCATCCTCCCTGTTTGGGTCTTTTGCGCGCGTGTGATCGCGACTACAGTCGGTGGGGGATCCGAACCATGACATGTTCGAGACTTCATCTGGCATACAGGAGTTAACTGTCTGTCCAGAGGTTGAGGTCTAACCGAATGTATTACCACAGCACTTCCTGTGAGTATACACACAGGTTCTGCAGGTGGGCCCTTGGCGAGGCGGAAGCAAAAGAGAGCCGAGTGAATGCAATGGCCTTAAGGATGCGATTCGCGAATGAATATTAGTAACTTGCTAAATCAGGACCCCGCAAAATTGGAATTCATCGGTAGCTTTCCACGAAACAGGATCCGACTGCCACGAAGCAGAACCCTCCCCTCTCTCTCTCCGCCACCGAAACAAATCGGAACATGTTGCCACCTTGATTGCGCAGGTGCCCAGGCGTGGGTTGCGACTGCAATCTGCGGATCTGGTCATTTCCGAGCGAAGGACTCAGTGTGTCTGCTTTTGTAGAAAGTCTTCACAATCACCGACTGTGGTCAGGTCTCTGACTCTGACACCAAAATTGCTCACAGGTCATATTATCAGCATGGTGGCATAGTTCTTGGAGAAATCAGCGAGGCTACGTAGTAAGCTGCAGAGTCGCATGAGCGATAAGAACTAATAGGGCTCTGTTGAGAAGGGCACATAGGATTCGACGTGGATCCGTCTACGGCCCATATAAATAAAGCTCATTTAGCAGCCACGTCAATGTGGGTGGGTTCGTAGTGTTGACAGCAGCTATGCAGCTCACGTAGAAGGATACATCAGCAGCTGACAGTGGTGGCATGGTCTTGTCCTACCTTCCAAGCAAACCGGCAATCATTGCGTTGATCTCTTCTCAAAGATCACCACAGAAAGCCCATCAACTCATGGCCAAGAAGCGGTACCTCTGGGTGGTGGCTTTAGCCAGGCACTATATAGTATAGTGTTGATGCACAGGCTGTCTTGAATTGACCAGGCTTGGTGGTACGTGTACACTTACATAGTTCTCTGTTTGAGCACCAAAGCAGGCATCGAGAATCGCAGAAATGGCTGAGGTTGGAGATGAGTTTCACCCATCGCCTGGCGACGTGTGGGAAACTTGCCAGAAGTTTTCGGAAAGCCGTTTCGTCGTGTGCTGTCCAGGCAAGTTGGATGGGCTGCATGTAAACCAATCCAATTGTTTTTCTCAGGCCTGTGTGGGCAACGTGGTTTTGCTTCAACGCGAGCAGCAGGCCTGCAAAGTGGTCTGGCTACCGAAACCGTAGCTGCAGCTGCAAAGCGCAGTGTGGGTGTGAAGGTCGTCCTATGCAGGCATGCACCGTTTCCACAGATGGTTCGAGCCACTTAAGCCGCAAGCATCCCTGCCAATTTGGACATTCGCAGAGTTTCGCCTGTCCGGGCGCAAGTCATCGATGATCCTGCAGCATTCTGAGATCTGAGTGAGGTTCAATATTTCTGCAATCGCTTGCCGCTTTGACTGTTGGTGGATAGCAGTTTCTGGAGTTTCCTGACCATCAAACTGATGTAGAGCCCAAGTTCCGGTTAAGGAAAACTCCGGGAGATTGTCAGCAGTACTCCTGCCCCGTGGCACAGTGGCAAGTTCCGCTGCTCCAGGAGCAGGCCTTCATGGACCCAGCCTCAGTCGCCCAAGTCGCTTATCACCAAGCTTGTAGTTCAAGCTGCAAGCTTTCAGCCTCAGGATTCCCTAGCCTCCTTCTTGGATTGTCGCCTTGCAGCGGTTGCAAGGACAGGGATGGTTTCTAACATGTGCTCTCCTGCCGAGAGACGAACCAGCTTTTGCAAAGGTCATGGTCGCTTGAAGCCTTATAACTTACAGCTGTTGGCAAACAGTAGTTTGCCTTGACTCGGACTTCAGTGAGACATCACGGGCTCATGAGGCTGCATATCTGATTCTTGCATCATCAGGAGCGTAGTGCAGCCGGGGGTGACATACTCTTCCTCGGGCATTTGTAGCAGCAGCCGCTTGGTTGGTTTCAGCTACACTTTTGAAGTCAGACAGCAGTGCGAGCACCTCCGAGGTTTGCACATTTGGCAAGATGCCTGCCCTCAGAGCTATTGTGCATCCTTGACGACGGCGGCGAACATGTGGCGCCTTGGCCCTCGATGGTTCTGGGCATGTGCATGCTAGGGCCTTTTTGGGCGGGTTCTTGTGACATGCTTCGAGTGGAGAAAACTCAGTCGTTCAATATAACTTGCATATCCTTCGAGCATGCGCAAGCTCAAGGGCGAACGCAGGCTCAGCACAAGCTTGTTCTTACAGGAGTTATGGGATGCTTCACCAAACCTAAAACTTGAAACACCCTCACGTGTGCAATGGACGCGCAAGGGCGAAGAACAAGGGTTCCTAATTAGCTGGCGTGGATGACAAAGATGTGGAGCAACCCTCATGTGTTAGAGCGTCCTAGCTGTAGCTGCGAGCTGAGGAAAGCCGTGATCACTGGAAGCAGCTCTGGAGCCTTACTCGATTTTCTCCAGGACCGTGTGTCGCGTCTAGAGTCTAGCTGTGATGCTCCGAGTGCTCTATTGCATCCGTAGGTATCCACCTCTCTGGTGCCTAGCAACTTCGAGCGTCTTGGCCAAGAAGCGACTCAGGGAGGTCCGAGCGCGCGTGCAGATGCAGAGTTCGGTGCTGCTTCTGATAAGGTTGGCCATGAGCTCACTTGCGATGGACGCCGCTAGCATGGCTCCGGAAGCTTCGGAGCTTTTGCTTCACAGCAGCACTTCAGTGGCTTTCAGATCTTTCAGTGTTGCCAATCGCTTCAATGTCCAGGGAGAGGCGTAGGATATTTTTCTGCGAGGCCGAAAGCTGCAAATTTCGTACATGAGGGCTGCTTGCCATTGACTGTGCGAGGAACGGCAGACTGAGCCAGTCGTCGTGCGTGGCTCTGCCATGCAACAAGCATGCGCCAGTGCAGGCTTCAAAGAGCCAGATTTCAGACGGTCTTTAGTCTTTCCTATTGCAGCCTGGGCGTAGGCACTTGCAGCGATGGCACTGCCCTACAGCGGCATTGCCGAGCCCCGCGCTCGTCTTGCCATAGAAGGTCGAGGCTTGCACTGGTGGACCATGTATTCAGTTTGAATCGAATCGCCGCAGACAGACATCATGACGTGGCAAGGCGCTCCAACGCCAAAGCTGCTGTGCGGCGAACCCGCCCTTGATGATGACCTCGCTTCGGTCGAGGTCGTACCACAGGTCTACATGCGGCCGGAAGCAGCAGCATGGCACTTCATAGTCGTGTGATGTGGAACGAAGCCAGCGGTCTCGCTCGGGATTGCCTCGAGATGGCGATGCTTGCATCGGCAAGGCACTTCACTGCTTTCTAAGGTGCAAGTAGAAGAGGACCCTGAGTCCTCGTCATGGATCTCTTGGGACTGCATCAAGGACTCTGCTTTCTGTACTGCATGTGCATTCATGGGATTCCATGAACTGGCAGAGGATTCAGATAGCTTCTCATCTGCCTTCTTCGTTCCGGCGGAGCCGGAGGAATCCCAACACGAGGACATCGGACACTGCCAAAGCATCAGATACCAACATCCAACAGAGGCAAGACAAGCCGTCAGGGCTGGGTTGCCTTAAACGGATGCTTCAGCAGAGGCTGGCTGTGCGGAAGTGATCCGTTTGCAGCATGAAGGACGTGGACAGAAGCTCCGAACCGGATGCCGAAGCTGTCCCAGAGGCGTATGCAGTCTGACTAAAGTCTACAATAATGCCGGGACCGGCGATAACAGCCTGTACCATCATCGCAGGATTGTTTTGGCATGTGTCTGTTTTTTCTTCTCGAAGCATGTAGAGCCGCTCTCACCTGCCAGGAAGCCCACACGGCTACAAAGCAATTTCGACCTCGCCCCGTCAAGCCGACGTCCCCGCCTCCGAAAGTGTGGAGGAGCGGTCGCAGTACGTTCAAGACAGACATCGTCAACGCATGCGTTCGCTGGTGTCTTTGGGTGTTTTTAGCTGTCATCACGTGGATGAGATGCAGCCCAGAAGCATGTCAGTAGCTTGAGCAACATGATCCTCCTTCATGGCACACGATGCTCGATACACGCTCCGAAGTAGCCGAAGTTGATGCAGTTGGTGTTGCCCATGCTAAACTCCGCTACAAGTCCTACTCTTGTTTTGTGTGGATGTCAGCTTGTGAAGCTGCATTGCTGGACCGAGCCTGACCTAACTGAACGAAATCCCACCTAATTGCAGTCACAGCTCCATTTGTATGCAGGCCACACTGCAGATCTGTGCCGCCTGTGGCGCGCATGACTGATACGGTGCAGGCAGGGATGTGTCTTCAACAGATGTGCAGAGTGGGCAAGACGGTGATCCTCATTGCAGGCTCCCGGCGGCGGTGATGGCGGTGAGGAAGAGCTCGATCGACAAGATCCGAAGCGTCAGCGCGATCACAGCTTGAACCGTCCAGTAGGTTCCGTGGTTGTGTGCAAGGAAGCCCAATCCGAGCGCAGCGAGGACAACAAGAGACAGCGCAGAAGACCGAGAAGTCTTTCAACGACTTCGAAGCCACCACTGCTTCCTTCAGCAAAAGAACTCCCACCGGTGAAAAGCTTTTCGATGGTGAGAGACGCGCTGTCCAAGTCTCGTCTGGCCGGCAGGCACCGGACAGCAATCGCGGCTGCGGCCGCTCTGTCTCTCGACACGGAGGTCCCAGTTTCCGAGACCCCCGAAGCGCCGACGCCATCCATGGCCAGTTTACTCACAGGGGAGAGCTTGAATCCTGGTGCATCGTTACACAGAGCCCGGCCTTACACGCGGCATCGCGCCGCCATCCGCGATGCGCGAGCGCTTTGCCTGAATGTCGAGTCAGACATTGACAGGCTTTCTGCGCCTCGATTGCTCAGGGTTCATTCGGTTCCGTCTGAAGCCGCAGAATCCAAAAAACCTCCACGAGATCCACGAGCAGTGAGCGAGTCACGACAGAGGGCTGTATCTTCATCATTCAAGATTCGGCCTTCCGTGCTGATGCATGATGGCCCTAAGTGCTAGGCAGAACCACTGCTTCCCAATGTGAATGACATGAATTTTCCTGCTTTGTGTCTCCAAATTGAGATGCATGAGAAGGGAGGATTTGAACACCATTTGCCAATATGTGTACAGATTTCGGCGATGATCAAGGCCCGTGGATCTTATCTATAATCCAGAAACTCCGAATTTTATTGAGAAAGAGAGTGCCAGCAAGACCTTCGAAATATGAATAGATTCCAAATTAATAAATACGAAGAACCATTTATAATTACTATAGCTATATGCTATTTCTTTTGATTATAAGATAAAATAATTCAATATTTAAGATGAGATATATTTTGATTGATTTATTTTTCGTTAAAATCTATAAGTTTTTAAATTGAATAATAATTCAATAGAGATTTCTTGATGGTAATTCTCATTTTAGATTAGAATAATTACGCATATTTAAATATGAAAAAAATAAGTATATTTCGTTCTATGGTATTTTCGTATAATCTTATTATATATTCTAATCTTTATTTTATAATATTTTTCGAGAATATCTTGGTTATTATCGATCTTAAATATGATAATGATTAATTTTGATATTATCTATATGAATAAAGATATATATTATATCTCGTATAACTTACAATCTTATTGATTTTGAATTATTGTATTATATAGATGTTATAACTCTGTAGAGGACTTTAATTATATAGAATATCT